CCAGTGAAACGTCTTCAAGAAAAATACAGCAAGTCCAGTTGCCTTGACTTATTTTTTACAGATATGCCTAAACAAGGACCTTCATAGCAGACTCATCAGATATTATTTTAATGAATGCTGCAGATTTACAAATATTGAAATGATGTTTAAAATTACAATAAAATATATGAAATTTATAGTGCACCAGGTGGTACAGTATATATTCTCTTTATTCACCCTTACCTTACAAGAGTGTCCTCCTCTAGCACTGACCGATCCAGGGGCTCAGTTGCAACGACTTGCAGCAAGTGCCGTAAAGTGTACAAAGATAAAAATTGCTAGGGAAAGAACTTTGTTTAGCACAAGAGACGTTGCATGTCTCTCCTGTCCAAAAACACACTACCCCCTAGCATTTGTTTCATATTAGGGGTTTATTTCCCCCCTAAGTAATGTATACACTTTAATAAATGAATTCAGAACAGCAATAAATCGGTTAACTTCTAACATCCATGCGTCTCTTTTTTACACACATTTCTCCTTTTCCCCATTTCTGACTGGCACTTTTTTTTCTTTTTAGCTAGTACTACATAATAATAGTATGGATCCCAACGTAGCACTCCTTCTACATCATCTTGTTCCACATCGTAATATAATATACATTTCTGGTTATAAAATTGTTGCTACACATTCCTCCATGCTGTTGTACCTTTACACTTGTAATTACAGTCATTTACCTCTCCACATGCACATCTATTGTTTGCATGACCTTACATTGCTGCGCACAGCTTAGTTTGATTGAGAGAGAGAGCGAGAGATACAATGCCATATTATAATAGAACACGAGAGACTGCCCGGGGCCCCACACTCCAGGGGGGCCATGGCGTTGCTGAAAAAGTTCTACACTTCAGTGTTCTTCATAGCACTGTATGTCAATTTCAGCTTTGCAAGTCTTTAGCTTTTTTTTTTCAGGTCAGCAATGGCAGCCATTGTAATGATTCCAGTAGAGGATTCTTTTAACCACTTCTCACCTGACTCAAATATATAAATGCGGTGGAAAAAAGGTAGGCTTCAATGCTCGGCCGCCACATGTATGCATCCACTGATCTCTGCTGAAAGAGCGTTCACCGCGTGCATCCAGCACAGTGATTGGCTGTCACAGCGATCACATGATCAGGAGCCCATCCCCACCTCTCGTTCAGTTACTATAAAAGGGCCAAGGGCAAGGGGTTAAGAATTAAGATCATCAAAATTCAAACGCAATACAGGCAAACTACCTGAAAGCATTGTTTTGATATCTGTCACCACCATATGAGTCATTTCCAAATAATATGCTGCTTCATAACATCAAATTTAACATGAAAACGCTGCTTTCTGTATACTGCAGTAATGTTTCACAAACCAAAGTCAGACGCAAAACACAAAGGTCTGTCTGCTGACCCATGATCCCGCTAAACTGGCAAAGTACTAAAAGACATCCTAGGTGGTGATCAACTCTCCTAATATAGGGGCCACAAGTGTCCCTGACAGCACTAACGGGTCACAAATAATATTCAGTGTATGTAATGTTACATAAACCTTTCATAGACTGCTGTTACGTGTAGCAGGAGATAGTCAGAGACTACAGGCCAGGGACGTGAGGCCATGGAGGCAGAGCCTCACCTAGTTTTATGAAGAAAAAAGGTGTCAGCTTCATGTCTGAAGCTGACAGCTTTTCCCCCATTCAGAGTGGCTTGTTACAGGTTGCACAGCAGGGAAAGCCTCCCCAATGTGTAACCTGTCATGGACGTGCTGCATCCGGCTTTTCACAGAAAATTAGGTTACACAGCAGCGGGCGCTGTCTGTTGGTCCAAGCTGTCCAATAAAAAAAAAAAAAAAACCATTGAGGACATCAATCTTGATGCCTCACCAGTGAGGGACAGGTAGGCTCCTTCTGTCTCCTCAGCACGCAGCTTGGTTACCGAGCTGGGGGCGGAGTTCGGTGTAATGGGGCAGAGTTTCAGTGAGACGGGGCGGAGCTATGGCGGGCTGGGGGTTGCCTCACCCAGCACAGGAGGCATGGCACGGCACTGCTACAGGCCTGCTACTAGAGATCGTCAGAGTCTGCAAACATGCTGCAAAGAGATGGTCAGAGGCTACAGGCCTGCCACTAGAGATGGTCAGAGACTGCAAACATGCTGCAAAGGGATGGTCAGAGACTACAGGTGTGCTACTAGAGATGGTCAAAGAGTACAGCCATACTAATAGTAATGGTTAGAGAGTATGGGCATTCTAATTGAGATGTTTAAAGAGTACAGTCATGCTACAAGAGTTAGTCGGAGTCTGCAGACATGCTTCTAAATATGGTCAGAGACTACAGGCGTGCTAGTAGAGATGGTCAATGCTTACAGGCATACTAATAGAGATGGTTAGAGAGTACAGGCATGCTGCTAGAGATGGTTAGAGACTGCAGGAGATGGTCAGAGACTACAGGCCTGCTACTAGAGATGGTCAGAGACTGCAAACATACTGCAAAGAGATGGTCAGAGACTACAGGCGTGCTAGTAGAGATGGTCAATGACTGCAAACATACTGCAAAGAGATGGTCAGAGACTACAGGCGTGCTAGTAGAGATGGTCAATGACTACAGGCATAGTAATAGAGATGGTTAGAGAGTACAGGCATGCTGCTAGAGATGGTTAGAGACTGCAAACATACTGCAAGAGATGGTCAGAGACCACAGGCCTGCTACTAGAGATGGTCAGAGTCAGCAAACATGCTGCAAAGAGATGGTCAGAGACTACAGATGTGCTGCTAGAGATGGTCAAAGGGTAGAGGCATGCTAATACAGTAGAAATGGTTAGTGAGTACAGGCATGCTAATGGAGATGGTCAAAGAGTACAGGCACACTAATAGAGATGGTTAGAGAGTACAGGCATACTAATAGTAATGGTTAGAGACTCCAGGCATACTAATAGAGATGGTTAGAGAGTACAGGCATACTATTAGTAATGGTTAGAGAGTATGGGCATTCTAATGGAGATGGTTAGAGAGTATGGGCATTCTAATGGAGATGGTTAGAGAGTACAGTCATGCTACTAGAGTTAGTCAGAGTCTGCGGACATGCTGCTAGATATGGTCAGAGACTACAGGCGTGCTAGTAGAGATAATCAATGACTACAGGCATACTAATAGAGATGGTCAGTGACTACAGGCGTGCTGCTAGAGATGGTCAGAGACTACAGGCATGCTGCTAGATATGGTCAGAGACTACAGGCTTGCTGCTAGAGATGGTCAGAGTTTGCAGACATGCTGCTAAAGATGGTCAGAGTTTGCAGACATGCTGCTAGAGATGGTTAGAGAGTACAGGCATGCTACTAGAGTTAGTCGGAGTCTGCGGACATGCTGCTACTGAGGTTCAGAGACTACAGGCGTGCTAGTAGAGATAGTCAATGACTACAGGCATACTAATAGAGATGGTCAGAGACCACAAGCATGCTGCTAGAGATGGTCAGAGTTTGCAGACATGCTGCTAGACATAGTCAAAGACTACAGGGGTGTTTTTAGAGATGGTCAGAGACTACAGGGGTGTTTGTAGACATGGTCAGAGACTACAGGGGTGTTTGTAGAGATGGTCAGAGACTACAGGGGTGTTTGTAGAGATGGTCAGAGACTACAGGGGTGTTTGTAGAGATGGTCAGAGACTACAGGGATGCTGCTAGAGATGGTCAAAGGCTACAGGCATGCTAGTAGACATGGTTAGGGAGTACAGGCATGCTACAATAGATTGTTAGAGATTATAGGTGTGCTACTATAGATGGTCACAGACTGCAGACATGCTACTAGAGATGGTCTGTGGTTACAGATATGTTACTAGAGATGATCAGAGACTGCAACCATGTTATGGGATGTCAAGGGATGGTCAGTGACGAAAAAAACCAATACCAGCGCCTCCGGCTGCAAGATAGGCCAGCTGTAACGATAATTGGAACACAACAGAGGCAGCTCCCACCGGTCAGAAAGACCATCGATCTGGGAAACAAAGAACAAAACAGAGCGCCTCCATAGTGTAAAAGCGTAATTTATTAGTACGACACACAACTGGAATTGTACTTACAAAAAAGTCGGCGGTTAAAAGCATGTAAAAGTCGATGAAACTTAAAATCTCTAGCGGGAGTCTGAAGGGATGTATCACATCAGCGTCCTCTGCCCCTGTGAGTTCAAAAGGTCTACGCGTTTCAGGGGCACGCCCCCTTCATCAGAACCTCAAAGGCTTTTAACCACCGACTTTTTTGTTAGTACAATTCCAGTTGTGTGTCGTACCAATAAATTACGCTTTTACACTATGGAGGCGCTCTGTTTTCTTTGTTTCCCGGATGGTCAGTGACTACAAGTGTGCTAAAAGAGATGATCAGAGAGTGTAGGAGATGCTGTATGAGTTGCTGGTGACTGAAGACATGCTTTAGGATGCAGTCATAGACTGGGGATACATTACATAAGACTGTTAGAGATCACTACTAATAAAGGGCAATACTTTGGTCCCACAAATGGTACCAAAGGGCTGCAGGTTTGGCACACAGTAAAATGAGCCCACCACTGTTTATGTGTATACATATATATTCCAATGATGGCCGTGTCCATGTCACCCTGCCTGTGGCTTTCGCCGATCCTCCCCATACCTAAACCATCTCCTATATGGTTGTGATGTGGTCTTTTCTTTCAGTCATTCTCTCCCACTCAGATCTCTCTCCCCGTAGCCCCTTATCGCATTCTCCTTATTTGCCACAGCCTATAAATAATCACACACAGCTATGAGTCACACTCGGTCCCCCGTGTCAGCCTCCTCCCAGCACAGTACAAGTCTCAGGCTGTTCTTAAACAGAGCCTCTGTAACATGCATGCAGCATCATCATCATCGCCACCAACTCTATAACGAGCGGTATGGCTCCAGTGTGTACGGTACAAGCATATATAACTCCCGCATTCCGCGACATACACACCCATGAATATATATGACCCGCTCCAATTCTCCTTCATCCACTCTATATGAATATTCATAGGCTGGAAATCGGCGAATGCCTTCAGGAGGAGAGTTCCCCTTCTCCCGCTATCTCCCACCACCACCTCCCCTGCCCGCAGCCTGGCGAGAGTCACGTGTTGGGGGGTGGGCGGATCTTCTCCTCCGAGCTTCATTCATAAATCCTGAGGCCGGTGACTGAGCCGCAGCTCGGAACGGGAGAGGGAGGAGAGGATCGAGCGGAAAGGCCACGGCAAGGCGGGAGGGCATCGGTGGCAATCGCGGGGCGTGCAGCGGGACCCGGTAGGTCGCTTTGTCGCCTCTTGCATCCTTTGGCCACCTCCCGAGCATCCCCCTGGGTATCTTTTTGGGTGCAGCGTGCTGGCGAGCTTGGCACCGGCTGCTAAAAAGCCGCATTTCCTCTGTGCTGGCTGTGCTTTTTTGGGCATAGCATCCGTGTGGTTGGGAGCCTGCCTCAATAGCATACGGGGGGCTACTGACTGAGGTTTGGGTATCACCCAGGTGCTGCAAGGTACCGAGGCCGTATTGGGGGGCTGCTGTCTATCAAATACGTTGCAGCTGCCGGCTCCTGATGGTGCTACAGTGTGGATAGTGAGGAGATCAGGTAGGTGGGGCATCATTTCTCTTCCAGCTGTGTGCCTTCTATATGGCCAGTATCTACTTCCCTGCCAAGCCATGGGCACTGCCCAGGAACCAGCTATGCATTACACATCCAATGATGTATCATTCTTGTACCAAGTAGATGGCAAGACATCGAAAAGTGATCTGTGCTCTGTGTTTACATGGCAAGTCAATGCCTCTGTGCCATCGCCTGCATCCTTCTTCCATTGATTGTATGTAATATATATTTATTTATGTTCCCCATAGTATACAGCACCTGATCTGACAGGCTGGTGCTCTGTTCGGTGCTTGCTTAAGCTCACCACACACATTACAATCTGATCTGAGATGTACCATCTCTTTTAGGACCACCAAGCTTGTTACAATCTGATTGGACAATCTCCTTCATGCTCATCACACAGGTTACAATCTGATTGTACAGGCTACTTTAGCTCTACCAACAAGTGCAAGGACCTGCCTGATTGGATAGATTAGGTAGGTCTCCATATTACATCGTTTTGGTAGATCTAAAGTTCATTGTACAGAGATTGTAATGTGGATGGTAAGCCTTAAGCCCACCACACATGTTACACTGTGACCATACAATAGCCTTAAGATCTATCAACCAGTATATAGGGCTAATGCCTGCCTGATTGATTGGATAGATTAGGCAGGTCCCCATCTTGCATAGTTTGGGTAGATCTAAAGTTGATTGTACAGTCAGATTGTAACAAGGATGGCGAGCTTTAGGCACACCATACCCTACTCAGTTGCAAGAAAGAAAAAAGACCAATTCCCTCATCCGCACTGTTTACTTTGTCTGTTCACTTTGACTGAATCTGTCAGTTCGCCTTTACTGTTGTAAACGAATGCTGGCCATACCCTATGCGTGTTGTCTCATGCAGCCCCATGGACTGAACAAGAAAGACACTTGATTCCCCCATCTGCATTAAACAGTGTGGATGGGGAATTATCCCCCTTCCTAGCTATTGTATTCTGACAGTGACATTTGCTGCTGTCAAAATACTGAAACCGTTTACTTCACCTGATAGGCTGTAGTTTCTGATTGGTTGAGAATTTTTGGACCAGCTCCTTTGCCAAAAGTCAATTGAAAAATCGTCTATTGGTAAAAGAGGGGGTCACACACTGCTTGAATTTCAGCCACATCAGCAGGACTTAACCTAAATTCGAGCAGTGTATGGCTAGCTTTAGATCTCCCAACATGGATGTAGTACAAGGACCTGCCCATTGGGGATACAGATTAACTGGGCAGATTATGTAGGTCCTCATATTAGATAGTTTTGGTTGATTGCAATGTGTATGGTGACCCTTACACACTAAAAAAAAAAATAGGATTCTTCCTGACTTGTAGTGGTTAAATAATCATATTTAGTCTAACAACTGTAAGCAGGTATTGGAAGGTTCTAAAGATAAGGAAGGTACTAAAACTAGTGCTGTCTATGTATATCTATGAGCCATAGTGTATGTCAGTGAAGTTCAGTAAAGCGGATGTATTGTAAAAATGATATCCGTTCATCTTTGATCACATCGTGTTGATTTTACCTCTGTCTTACCATTGACTAGTTTTCCTTCTATAAGACACCCCACCTTTCTGTTTCTGCAGGTGTCAGATCATGAGCAATGAGTCACCTCCATGGGAGAATATAACTGACAGCTCCACGGTAAGAAGAATTGCAATGATATGATAATCGTACATTAACATTGAGGAATACATTCTATCTCTAGCTACTAAGACAGCAAATATGAGAATTTTAGGAGTAATAAACCCTCCTATTGTTACGAGTACAGTATTCTGGCCCATCCCGGAAACAGGATGGACCACTCTTTCTTATGCCCCAGCGCCACTTCCCTGAACTTCCGGACAGGAGGGCACGCACTATAAACATCACCAGGTTCAGTGACTGCCAGCGGCCACCATACAGGTCCCACCGCTTTGCATATGTGTGCCGGCATTACATTTTTGTGGGTCTCTCTGCACATTCACCTGCCAATCAACCGCTGGAGGAGCTGGGGAATAACCCATTCATGAGACACTAAGGTGCCTATGCATGGAGCATCACCACGTCAGGCTGCTTTGCCGGGCAGGAGCGTGCTTGTAAGGGTAGCTCCAGGGGACCCTTCAAGATAATGGAGCCACCCTAAAAACAGAAGCAGAGGCTGGGGAACTTTTCAATGGGAATTGCAGTGGAAGGCAATCATCAAACATACGTTTGCTGCAATGGGTCATTTTTTAAAATGGAGGGTTTAATAACACTTTAGGTTCATATACTGTACATATACTGTGAGATAAGCAAATATCTTCTAAATACGAGTCATGTGTACTCTTAATTATGTTTTGGTGTGCTTTGTGTATTTCTTCCAGATCTATGCAGTAACCCAATATGAGACTTTACCTCTATGCAGGATTGTCACTATTATTTTTATATGGACATATCTGGGTATGCAAAGGCATTTGGTGTACACAAAGTAAATTTACCTTTTGGCTATTGAGGAAAATAAGTTTTTATGCCCAGAGTTCATCTTTAAGTGCTAACCATTCAAAACTGTACAGAAATATTTTTTTGTCTGTGTCCTCTTTGGAGAGATTTCCTATCGCTTCATGCCCCAAAGTGACAAACCTCCCCAGTAGGGGGACACAAACAGCAATAAAAACAAGACAGTGGCTTTAGTCAAGACAAAAAATGGCATGGGTCGTAAAACTGGGTAAGACCTATATGTATGCAATATTAACTATCATTTTCCCTCAAGAATACATGTATTAAACCTCCTTTCAACCTGGTCTAAGGAATCTGACTGTAAATAAATTGTTCATGCTGCTAGACAAAGAGGGTTACCTGGGGCAGACTCTAGCACAGCAGATCAAGGCTACAGATAACAAATAATGAATAGGTATTTCATATAGTTCTTGGTGTATGTATACTTCTACCTGTAATTAGTTAGTTTATGCATTACTGTGTGCTAGATTTGTCGATTTCATTTTGCATGACAACAAAGCATAAGCTCCTTTACCTAGAAACATTGATCTCTTTCATTGTTATTAAATGTACATAAAGTATTCATAGAATATTGACAGAGGATAGATATAAATAGCTTGTCCATTTTGCTGCTTTTCTTACCTAGTGTAATCATGCTAATGTCGAAACGGTATAATCATTTGGATTTATTTGCTGCATATAAGCATGGTTTAAAATGTGCAATAATCAACCAAACCCTAATTGCTGTATGCATGTCACAGACTCTTCTAGTGTCATTGAGTAGATGGGCAGAGCTTCCTGTGATCTTAATCATGTGTAATGATTAGAGCTAATCAGGGTACTGTGCTAAAATCTGGCATTTCCATAAACATGTTCTCTCAGGGCTCTGCGTGTATGCTCACTGTCACTAATATTCACCCATTGTATATCCAGACAGGAGGCAAAGTTCATTATGAAAGCATAAAACAATGCTAGCACATGTTTTCATGTCTGGAATTGCCTATATGCAGTATGTAAAGATGAAAGGTTACAGAGCTGAGTAGGTGGAGTGGGAGGTTTTACAAAGGCCCATAGATTTTCTCACCTCTTTCCCAGAGTAGAGGAATGAGATACAGGATAATGACATCCAGGATGAGGAGATGCATAGGAAAGTAGTAATCAGCTCCCCTGGCTAGTGCAATGTCCAGAGTGAACCACTGCAAGTGGTGTATGGCAGCAACTTTGATCCAAGTCCAAGCACTACTTGTTTGGATGCTGGCTTGTTTGGGACAAAAGCAGCGTAATCAAAGTAAACCTACAGCAAATATAAATGCTGTCATTGTTGACCTGCTGAAAATGCTAGTTGACTAACTAGGCTCTGACTTCAGTACTTTCTGAAACACTGACCAGGAACAAGTATGCAGCATACTAAGACAGAACTCCAGATCTACATCTTTGCAGTGGGTCACCAGATCTCCGCCGTGTCCTTCAATTAATGCAGTTAAAAGGATTTTGTGTGAGGTAACTAGACTATGCCACTTTACACTAGCTGTAGTTTGCTTTAACCTATCTAAACGGCATTAGTTAATTTTTGTTTACAGGTAGATTAAAACTTTAATTGATGCATCAAATATATTCAAAGACTGCAGCTATTTATACAATATTGTGACACAACAGTAATATGCTAATGTGAAATTAAAGCTGGCCATACACTTTAAATAATTACATCACGTGCGCTTCTCTATGTTATCTAGTTCTGATACAGGGGTGAACAAAATTATTATGGACAGCAGGAGCAATCCAGGAGTCTGAAGGATTTTTTTTTTTAGCAGCCAGCTCCATTGGCAACAACTAGGGAAAACCTTGGAAGTTATGCACCAGCTGCAATTTTTCAGGAGCATTGGCGACCTGGCTGCCGGGATTTGTCTGTCCCTGTTCTAATGGGTGAAGCAATTCACTGCAAGCTAGGAGTCTGCCTCAGCTCTGATGGGCATTCCAGTGAGTTTGAGCTTAGTGCAATGGGGTAAATTGTGTGAAAGCATCCACCACTGCAACAACTGTTCTCTTGGGTAGACTCATGCTCCAGTAGTTACTTTTTTTATGTTGGACATGCCTCTAAAGCCTTATTTTGTATCGTAAGTGTTCACAGTTGTCTCTGGAGGATAGGTTCACACCAGAACCAAGTAGACCACACTGGGAACGGTTAGCCTTCAGGCCTTATTCACGCCGAAAGCGTGTGAGTTCCAGAGCGGAAGCTGCTGGAACGCACCGCGATTGCTAAGAAACTTCTCCCCGCGTTTTGGGGCGGGAGGGGGCGTGGCGGTACATTTAATTCAATGGCACCACTTCCACGCCCCGCTCTCCCGCAGTGCGATGCCAGCTTGCCTTTCCACTGCAAACGCAAAAAATAGGGCTTGCTCTAATTTTTGCGTTTGCAGTGGAACGCAACCCTGGCAAAGTTTTGCCACACGTTCGATTCCACTGCGGGCAGGGTGGGTGGAAGTGGTGCTATTGAATTCAAGGCACCTCCACGCCCCCTCCCGCCCCAAAACGCGGGGAGAAGTTTCACAGCGATCGTGGTGTGTTCCAGCAGCTATCGCTCTGGAACGCACACGCTTTCGGTGTGAACAAGCCCTTAAAGTAAACCTGGCTGGAGGAAAAATCCTATTTTCTCTTGCATTTATTGAAGGACAAGATGGAGATCTTTGGATGTTGACTGTTGGGACATCCCCAAGCAGTAACTACTTAGGGGTAGGAACAAAGCAACTCTCCTCGGGCAGTGAAATTCCCACTGCTGTTTGTAGAGCTCCCACATGGAGAGACATGCAAAAGCCTGTACCACAGGGAACAATGACTATGGGGGCAGACAGATGTTACATGTAAAACCATCCTGGGTGGATTAAAAAAAAAATTAGAGGAACAGGAAAACAAAATGACCACATAGTGCAATAGAAAAGGGTAGAACCCAAATCTAAAGACTAAGCTTGATGGGAAACTGTCAGATCCACCAAGAAAAAAGTGGAGCAAGAAACCGGTTCCCCTCTTAGGGGACCAGTAGGAGAGACAAAGAGAACAACGAGCTTCAAAGGGAAGCATTGACAGCGAGATAGATACACACAGCATGAACAACATCCAGGCAATAGAGGAAATCTATCTGGCAACTACAAACATGCCTCGCCGAGGTGATGACAGCCAAAAAAGCAACCCGTTGAGCCAGAGTGAAAAGGGCAAAAAAAACCAAAGGATCGAAAAGACAGGTCTTAAGGAACCAACAGCCCCAGATTTGAGACCCCTTGAAACACTGGTGGTCTCACAGAAAGCTACAGGAGAGACACCCTGAGAGACTAGTGATCATAAGGGCCACAAATCACCTCAGCCAGGTGCTCAGGCCCAAAGCAGATGCCAGTATAAGTGCAAAAAAAAAGGAGTATTCGTCTCCCAGAAACTTTCCAGGGGAGAAAGCCATTCTCCTCACACCAGAAAGAAATATGCCTCCCAACAATGCAAATATTTGGAAAACTGTGTGGAGATAGTAGATCCAATAGATCTGAAGGAGACCATGGAGTGTCTGCCAAAAACGTATTCAGGTCAGAGAACCGCAACTGGCTATTCCGGCTATACCAGTCAACAAACTGCCCATGCCGACAGACCACTAACACCCCTGAGGCAGAAAACCCCACAGAAGATAATAAAGCAATAGGGAGTGTCCAGGTAACTAGAAACCACTGCACACAGCGAGAAGAGGGGTACCCCTGTCCACTCCAGCCCCCAACCCATAGCAAGGGGAGAGAAGGAAGGTCCTCTTTATGCACTTACCAGTCACAGGAATCGTGAAGGGTACCGTCTTCCATGGTGAAATGAAATGAGAACTTAGATCCTTACTCCTTAACACTAGGCAAAAAAACTGAGCTGCCTCTAGCAGTTGGGAGGTTTGGTCACCTGCAGGGGACGCCCCTAGACTGTGCTTTTGTCTTTTTGGGCTTAGTGTCCTACTACTGAAGGTGACGCTATAACCCAGTGTTCAAGATCTAAAGATCTCCACTGTGTCGTTCAATGAATGGGAGAAAAAAATGCACTGATCTAAAGCATAAATGGTTCAAGTGGGAAGTATAGAGAAGATTTATATTCCCCATTTTAGCACTGGAGCTTTGAAATTGGATTAATTCAGTATCCAAATGTTAAACATCTAGTCAAAGTAAAGCTTATGAACGTTTTCAGAACACAGAAGGCTGTATGCATAAGATAAAGATAACAATGAAGAAGTGTGTTCATTGCAGAATGTGACTTTATACCCTATAAACCTGCAGGCTGCTCCGGCTGCCCCTGGCCATGATGGGTACGTCTTGCTCTTGGTCCTTTTGTCTATCTTCATTGGAGGAACCCTGCTGCTACTTACCGGGGTCCTGATCCTTTGTAGACGCTGCTGTGATTCGCATCTCAGACTGTCAAGGTAATAAACTTTGCACCAAATTCCCCAGGCATTGCCTGCTAGGTTTTTTTTGCTTTATTTTCATTTTACAATTGCAATGCAATTCTCTTTTTTAGACCCAGTGATGATGCAGAGAAAACAAACACTTCCTATGTCGACGAGTTACAGCAAACACATGGTAAGGAGACTCCAAACTGTGTACCCTTTTCCAATGGATATATATCTATACCTATAGTGTCAAATGTCCTGTGGTCCAAACAGATATCACCATCCGAGTAGATGATGCAGAATCACTGTCCGCCTCAGGTCTTCGCGATGCAGAGTCAGAAAAGTTTTTGTGCACTACATCCAGTGGTCGTCGAGTTTCATTCAATGAAGGAGCCTTATGTGGGCAAGAAAGAAGAGAACGCGAAAGGGGAAGAAGGTAAATGAAGAGAGAGAAAGTGTCAACAGTACATGAAACCAATATAATTCTAATGATTTTTGTCTGTGGTTCTTTTAGGTACACTTTGACAGAAGGAGATTTTCACTATCTGAAGAATGCACGGCTGACTCTCCATCCGCTTCCCTCCTTACCACCAACCGCTTTACACATTCTGACCATACACGAAAGCGAAGGCGGGGAAAGTAGCAGCAGCGGAGGAGCTTCCGAAACACATGCCACCTCGCCCAGCAAGTCCAACATCTCTATATATCAGGTATGTTTTTTTTTAAACTTTAAACCTTTGACCAATCTTTTCTATAATTTCAGGTTTTAAATGTGCTTTTTCCCCCCCCCTAATCTCATAAGCCTCCTCGAAGTCCTCCAGCTCCACTAACTCGATTTTCACTCAGTTTAACCTCTGCACTTCCTGGAGATGCATACAACTCTGTGGCAGATACAAGTTTTATGGAGACTCCCACCCACAGTCTACCCTCTCCAAGACAAAGCCCAGATAAAATCCGGGTAAGTAACAACAGAGTGGAAGTAGAGGGAATATGCTGAGAAACAGACAAATAGAATATAGGGTTAATAGGTGCACCAGTTTCACACCATCCCTTCCTTCCCCAGTTTGACCTCAGCAGTCATCTCCCTCCGGGTGGTGCCAGCTCTGATGTGGGTACCACCCGAAGTCATGGTGCAGTACTCCATTTCTTCAGCCGTCTACGGCGTCATGCAAGCTTGGAAGGAACAAGCCCCTACCTAAAAATCAAGAAATGGAAACTGGGCAGTGTGCAGAGAGCAAGCAGCTTAGACACCAGAGGTGAGGGGGAGGATTGACCTGGATGCACAAGATGAAACAGAAGGTGTCTGTTACCCAAGCTGTAAAGGAGGGTAATCTGGATATATAAGGTGATGGGAGGCATGTCATTTAGTTGAATAAGAGGAGGGAAAAGCAGTATGTAGTAAATGAGACTGCAGGGTGGTCAGTCCACAATAATAATGGTGTTTCATTTGTGGGTGAAACTGGTGGGCTATTACCCCCAGTTTAACTATATGTCAGAGGATTCCAATGTTGAGAGTTGCATGTCAGATCCTGTCTCTGCTGCTCTTGTCAGTGAAGTCCCACTCCTCATGTTGCAGAAATGTAGATGCTTATTCCTGCTGCATTATAATATAAAAATCTATTTAAAGATTGGATAGGGATATCCTGCTGGAGCAGAACTAGCTCTTTAACTATACAAACTATTTGTAAGTCTACAAGAGATAGAAGAAGAAAATGTATGCTTTCAACTTTAATAGAAGAGTAAATAAAGACTTTAATAAAAAAAAAAATTAAGGCACTTAAAGGACTTCCAATGGAGGACGATCAAGACAAAATCATTTATTAAGCCAATGTTTTGTCGAGTCAGAGCCTGCCTTACTCAAGGCAACAAACAACATGCATAGAGGGGAATTTATCAAAACTCGAGCAGACAAAATCTAGAGCAGCTGCCCATGGCAACCAATCAGCATCTCTATTTCATTTTCAAACCTTAACTGAACAAAGAAGAGAGAAGCTGATTGGTTGCTTTAGGCAACTGCTCCAGTTTTGATAACCCCCTCACCCAGTGCTCCCTAAATAGGACTATATTAAGTAACCGTTTTGTTCCCATCATCCTTTATTGAAACTTCCTCCAATGCCTACTCTACCCTTGGTGGTTCTAATTCTATTTGTGGAGCACCACTGCATGTATATATTTATTATAGTTTTTTCACTGACATTTTCTGTGTTATTCTGAATATTTGTACCGGAAGTCCGCTGCATGTAGAGGAAACATCTACAAATCACTAGCTTAAAAATTTCCAGCTCTGATAGGCTCCAAAACTAATTAAAAAAAAATAGTTTTAAATGCTAGTCACGATTTTATTGATAAGATCAAACATATATTTTGGCCTCATTGGCATTCTACACCGGTGTGTTTTTGAACATCCATTGTACTAATAGGAGGGAACAGGAAGGCTAGTTAAGTGTCATAAACTAGCTGGGCATCCAAGAGAGGACTGTGTAATAAAAAAAAAGAGCATGTAGTAGGAACAGATTTTTTCACTAACCTGTATAATGATCAGACTTCTGTAGTTATGCAGAAATCGGTCTACAGCTTGACAAACTGTATGCTCTTTTCACAGGTTCACCAAAACGGCAGCAGTTCCAGCGCCAACGAGCAGCCAGTGAAAGTGCGGAGCGTGATGACATTATACAGTACATAGCCCACACCCAAGACTCAGTTTTTGCTTCAAATCAAGGATCATACATACCACAACACGGAACACCATCACACTCTCTCGGCAGGTATTCTTCTGTTGCCCAGTCTACATCTTTACAGACACACATCCCAACAAATGTTTTATAGTCCCTCTCTTCTTTTTGCCTATTGCTTAAAAAAAAAAAGAAGAGGGGATCATTTCTTTTAATTTTTCTTATCTGGTTTACAGGTTAGAGCATGGGGAAGATGGGTCGTTGCCTGATGTGGGGAGCACAGAACAGGGCCCACTCCCTCCCCAGTGTGACATTTGGAGCCTACGTGCATCATTAGAGCTGTGCGCCTCAGATCAAAGTAGTAGCAACAATGACCGTGACTCTGTTCGTAGTGATGCAGAAAGTGTGAGCTCTTTAAGCGGACTTCCTAGCTTACCCTCCCAAGATCTGCCTGATGTTAGGCCTGGGAAGGGAACAGAGCCAGAGGCTGGATCCCGAAAGCTCCTTCAGATGGACAGTGGCTATGCTTCTATTGAAGCCCCATGCCGACCACCAGAAGAATCATGCAGTCCCCATAGGGACAAGACTGCTTCCGAAAAGCGACTCTTTTTCACTCATGCTGGCCGTAAAGGAACAGTATTTGAAAGTCTGGAGGGGCGCTTATGTGAACAAGGTGCTGCAGGTGGAGAGGAAGAAACATGGTTTCCCCACCACACTCAAGCAATTAGTCCACAAGATGCTATTAGTAGACGTGACTACAGCATTGATGAAAAAACAGATGCACTGTTTAATGAGTTCCTTAGGCATGATCCACAGTATGATGATTCTCCTGTGCGCATAAAGCATCGATCAAGGGCACACTTGCGTAAACAATGGCAGAGGACAAAACAGTACAGTGATCCGGGCATCCGTTTCCCCCCTGCTTTAGATAGACATCGAGCTTCCCCATTACGCAGAGGAGACAGCACTAGCTACCTTCCTGACACACGCTACCATAGTACATTACCACGTATTGCAAGCACTACTGATGAGGAAGGCGCAGACAGCTGTCCACTTAGCCCAGCTTCATTAACACCGGAAGACAAAATTCAGGCCATTGAGGAGGAACCATATGAGCATGGGCCTGCTCCTGAGGAACCCAGACCTCCAACAGAAAACCCAGACCAAGACTATGGTTATGGCCCTCAAACAACAGAGCTACTGGATAAAATTGGAGCAGGGCTGGAGGAGAGATTGTATCCAATTGTACAGAGGACAGCACACAGCCCTGAGAGGCTCTGCATGGTGGCACATATCTCACCTGATCACAGTCCTGTGTAGTGGAAACATCAAGTCTTCAGCAGTTATCTAAGACAGTTAGGTGGGATTCAAAGACTAAACAGATGTGCAACCCATTTTTCCTGGATAGCACAGTGCCAAACAATACCCACTGTGGCACACTGTTATTTTACCCACTGCCACTTTATGTGCCATATGAACACATGCATGACTGTAAATACAGGCAACACATGTACACCACACATCAACAGCATGGACATGCACACTACATTATTCACCATACCTGTACAATTATCTTCCAAGCAATATAAAGTTTCTTCCTGAAGGCCCTTGGCAACTTTGCATCAGGGCAAAGTATGGATCCACTGGCTTTCAATGTGGACGCTGTAGATCTATGTCTCCCGATCCAAAACAGGACTTTCAGGCACAAGGGATGTTCGGGGTTGGCTGGTGCAGGGTCTACTACCAGTGTGTGATGTTCATCTATTTATTTAAATTATTTATTTAAGAAAGAGGCTTTATTCCTGGGAGATGGAGCCTTTGTGCTCTTGTATTTCAAATGTAGCACGTGACGGGTAGGAGTTACTTGTGCTCTCTCCACTACTGCTCTGCATTTTCCTTTATTAAAATAAGACCGCATATTGTAATTGTCTGAGTGTACACTGTGTGTATGTGAAAAGGGGGGAGCAAACATTGAGAAAATGCTATTAAGTATAATTGTTCAACTTCATTTGTACATTTACAACAGACCACATATATACATATTTAAACAGCTGCCAAAAAGCACTGCCCTGTCAGCGTACGGAGATTAAACCAATGCTCAGAAACCAATCTAGTGGAAACCAAATAAACGTTTAATCACTAAAGGAGAAAATAAACAACCTGTGATCGTAAACACACGGCTCTGTTTCTCCTGATGCACACACAACAGCTGGGTTTGGTTGGAGGAGTTTTGTCCTCCTTTTCCCTTCCCACTTTGCATTTTTATTGTGTATGAGGGCTCAGATAGGGCTCATGATGGGACCTCCACCTCTTAAGTATATTACATGTAGTATACAGCCAGACAAAATGAAGTGGAGCCAGAATTAAGTTCAAGTCATAAAGTGCAGCAGATGCTGGACACTGCGCAAGTCCTAGAGGTCCAGAGGAGAAATGGGGCAAAACAATTAAAAAGGGAAGTTCTCTTGTCTGCAGCATTTCGGCTGTAGCATCTGTTGGGCAGAATTTCTCAGAACAGAGACCGGGAGGAGCCTGCAGGACTGGGTCACTAGAGAAGAGAAAAAACAAAGACTACTTTAGTGTTATTGTTTACAAGACATGTGTACACCATATTTTTATGAAGCTACAATAAAACTAGCAAATTAAATTATTCAAAGCTGTTTTTCTTGAATCTTGTCTCAGTGGAATAGGGAGCATGGGCCCCTTCTAGTTCCCGACTTCATTCAAGCAACGAGTACTGCATAGTGGTGCTTCCCAAAAATTGCTCATGTAAGATTACATATGATCAAACCAGGAGACGCATGGAAAAGTCAGTCCTGCAGTCTAGATAATAGGAAGGCCATCTATGTCACTATACCTTTCACAAGTGTAAAACAAAAATAAAAGTTGTGGGGATGAGAACAGTTTCTGCAGAAGAACATCTGAACCAAATGTTACATTTGTCACCGATGTTTTCATTTAGAGACCTTTGACCCCTTCCCTCTAATTAAGAGAACAAATAAATAAATGCATTTCAAAATCTCTAACATGTCATAACAGATTTCTTAAATAAAAACATTGGGATATTATAAAAGAGAAAACAAAAACAACAAAAAAAACACAAGAGACACATGGAAAACCTAGGTTTGTGACATTTGATATGGACTTTCTGAATACTAAGTTTTGGTGAACATATTTTCTCTGGCAGGACACAAAATGCTCAATGAGACTTAAGAAGTCAACAGCAGTACAAAAGCTAGCAGGTTGTGATGCTTACATTTTGGGGCCTACCAATGTTAACAGGCCCCATCAGCAGTTAGTAACCAGGTGCATTTTGGGGAGGTGTACAAAAACTATGTGCCATTATTCAAAATTACACTCTGGGTCAGGTAACGTACATTGACCGCTAAGTAAGCAGAACCTAATGCAGTAAACTCCCAGTCTGGCAACCATGGGGATCGGTAGGTGCCTGATGAAAGTAACTCTCAAGCAACCACTCACTGAGAGAGAAAGTTCTCCCTCAGGTCCGCTCCTCTGCTCAGTGGGCGGGGTTTCAATAGCCAGCCTGTTATTGGCCATTTCAAATTGCAATAGCAGGTTGGCTATTGAAACTCTGCCCACTGAGCAGAGAAGCGGCCCTGAGGGAGAAAGTTCACTCTCAGGTCTGCTCAGTGGGCAGGTATATAACAGCTAATCTGCTATTGCAAATGTTTTGCCAGTTGCTTGAATGCCAAATAACAGATAGTTTACTGTATATGCATCTAGCCAATACGTATGTCTATTGAGAAGTGTTTGTTAAAGAGGAACTAAACCCACCAACATGCTAACTGTCATGGTCATCAGTGTGCCTATTTCAGCTCTCAACTGAATGTTTAAGCCCTCAATTGGCTGGTGTCATAGCTGATCACATGGCACCTGCAATCCATATAGAGGCTAAGATGGCACCTTCCTTGGCTGTAAGGGATAGGAGGTTGTAGTTCCGCTTTCTTGGCAACAGCAAGACAGGAACTGTTGTGGTGGTCATAGTGCATAGTAGTCTTCCACCTAGCTGACCTGTTGAGTCAGCTTTAATGCATTAGCTAGAAGCTATGCTCAAATGCAAACTAAAATGTCAGTTCACCCAAAACTGATAGTAGCCGTTATGAATCTTAGGAGGAGTTAAAGCTGAACAAGTCAGAACTTGTATGGCATTTTTTAAAATCCCTGACTGCAACCAGATCTCAACTCATCTTCTGAATAACAGAGCAGTGCCTGAATAAACCAGTTCGAAAGATGATATCCTCAGAGCGTGATTAAAAGGAGGAGAACTATGGGGTCAGTGTTTTTCCCCATAGTTCTCCTTAGGGTAACGGGAGGACACAAACTAGCGTTCTACCGTCACCCTAGGCTCAGTATACCGCGAGCTGCTGCTTGCGGTATACTGAGACGCCGCAGCTGAAGCGGATCCCGACAATTGTGCCGGGATCCGCCCAGCTGCATGACTGAATGCCTCTAGATAGGCAGCTGAGTCAGCAGTACCGGCCCCCTCCCCCGTCCGTTCCGCCAGTCAGCCCTGGCGGAGCGGGGAATCCAGCCCCTCCCCCCTGTCACGGCAGAGAGCCGTGACAGGATCGAGAGGTGAGCGAACGCCGGTATGTGTTCGCTCACCTCCCGATCTACTGAGCCGACCTGTGACCGTTTCATTGTCACAGGTCGGCTAGAACTATGAGGTGAGTGAAAAGCACTCACCTCATAGTTCTCCTTTAATCTATCTTCCAATTCAGAAGACCAATCTCCACTTCCCTCTCCCCTTCACCTGTGCTACCAGTCGTGTGAATGCCCTTGTATACTCTTTGCAGGGCACCACTGATGCCCTTAATTCAGAGGTGCCTGCAATGGGTGGATCTGTTTTGCAATGCTCTTTAGTCTGTCCTGCCCATGCACAGCCTTACCTCCTGATGGAAAGAATATGCAAATATAATTGCTCCCAGCAGGTAATTAAGGGACTCTGTGCGGATGTGGGCAGTTACTTGAAAGTAAGGAACTACCCAATCACATTTGTCAAGAACCATAGGAAATGTAGTTATGTGAGCTTGTAACAAGTTTATAATTTAAATTTATGGTCCTCCTGGAGCTCAGCTTTAAAAAGGAGAACTATGAGGCGAGTGATTTCCACTCATCCTCATAGTTGGAGCCAACCTGTGACAAAGAAGCAGTCACAGGTCGGCTCTAAGGATCGGGAAGGGAGCAGAAACATGCCTCCGATCTGCTCACTTCCTGATAGTCTCCCTACAGTGAGCGGTGTCAGTCACTGCTTCCCACAGGGATTCCTCCCCCCCCCCCATCCTCCAGCACTGAGTTCCTCTAGATAGGCAAAGCCTACTCACACAGCTGGGTGGATTCAGACAGTATTGTTGGGATCCGTCCCGGCTGCGGCACTCTCAGTATATCGCAGCCAAAAGCTTGCGGTATACTGAGCTTTGGGTCACGGGAGGAGGTTAGTATACAGGTGAAACTCAAATAATTAGACTATCGTGCAAAAGTTAAATTTATTTCACTAATGCAACTTAAAAAGGTGAAACTAATATACGAGATAGACTCATTACATGCAAAGCAAGATAGTTCAAGCCGTGATTTGTCATCATTGTGATGATTATGGCTTACAGCTCATAAAAACCCCAAATCCACAATCTCAGAAAATGAGAATATTGTGAAAAGGTGCAATATTCTAGGTTCAAAGTGTCCCACTCTAATCAGCCAATTAAGCCATAACACCTGCAAAGGGTACCTTTAAATGGTCTCTCAGTCTAGTTCAGTAGAAATCACAATCATGGGAAAGACTGCTGACCTGACAGTTGTGCAGAAAACCATCATTGACACCCTGCATAAGGAGGGACAGCCTCAAAAGGTAATTGCAAAAGAAGTTATTGATTGCATGTAATGTTCTAATTTTCTGAGATTGTGGATCTGGGTTTTCATGAGCTGTAAGCCATAATCATCACAATTATGACAAATCACGGCTTGAACTATCTTGCTTTGCATGTAATGAGTCTATCTCATATATTAGTTTCACCTTTTAAGTTGCATTAGTGAAATAAATAAACTTTTGCACGATATTCTAATTATTCGAGTTTCACCTGTATGTCTTCCCATGACCCAAAAAAGAGAACTATGGTGAAAAAGGTTCTCTTTTAAGTAATTTAAGAGTTTTTTTTTTAATGTCGTTCAGGGACATTTGTGGAGAAATCTATGTGCTTGAGTTCCTAGCTATGCACACCTCCAGTGGCAGTTACATCAGGTACCCACCACACACATCAATCTAACTGAGATATGAGACTACCTGTTTGGTAGGTATTTGAATAGTTTATTTCTTGTTTGTATTGGTATGACAAAAAAGGAGAGAAAAAAAAAAAAAAATCTGATCAGTCCATTTTTTGAGGTTTGTATGGAATGTGACAAAATTATTGGCACCCTCCATTAATATTTAGTAGCACAGCCCTTGGAAAAAATAACTGAAATCAAATCACTTCCTGTAACCATCTATGAGTTTCATACACCTCTCTACATGAATTTTGGAGCACTCTTTCACCAACTGCTCCAGGTCTCAGATTGGAAGGGTTCCTTTTCCCAACTGCCAAAAGCAGATCTCTGCTTCATCATTTTTTTCGCGATTTCGTGGGTGCGCGCAATTTTTAAGCATGACATGTTTGGTGTCTATTTACCCGACGTGGCCCCGTCTTAGATTTTACCAAAATAATTGGGTAATAATTGTTTCCTAACAATGCATAAAAAAAAAAAAATTTTCAAAATTTTCAGGAATTTTCCCGAAATATAGTAAAAAATAAAAACCCCCAGTGGTGATTAAATACCACCAAAAGAAAGCTCCATCTGTCCCCCAAAAACATGGTATAAAATTAATTTCAGTAGAGCGTTGCATGACGGAATAAACGTCAGTCAAAGTACTGCAGCGCTGAATACTGAAAAATGGCCTGGAAAGGAAAGGGGTCTAAACACCTGGTCAGCAAGTGGTTAAAAGGCCTCATTTCTCTTTCTGAAAACAGTAAAATGATGGGCTTTACCAAAAAGCTGTACTTTTGTTTCGTCTGTCCACAGCACATTCTCCCAAAAGGATTTTGGCAGACTCCAATCTGGTAAGTTTTGGCAAACTCCAATCTGACTTTAGGTTTCTGTGTCAGCAGTGAGGTCCTCCTGGGTCTCCTACCATGGCGTCCCTTTTCATTCAGATGGTGACGTATAGTGCGAGCTGACACAGTTGTACCCTGGGCCTGAAGGTCAGCTTGAATTTGTCTGGAAGTTGATGGACGGTCTTTATCCACCATTCCAACAATCCTTTGTTGCAATCTTTGATCAATTGTTTTTTCGTCCACGTCCAGGGAGATCAGCTACAGTCCCATGGGCTGTAAACTTCTTGGCAATGTTGCGCACAGTGGACACAGAAACATTAAGATCTCTGGAGTTTTGCATGGAATGTGTCAGAATTTGATTTTTTTTTTCCTCTCCACTTTTTTGTGTCATACCAATACAGACAAAAGAAATAAAACATGAGAACGCCTAAACATTTGTAATTGCAACAATTTTCTGCACAAAGTGGTGCATTATCTGACAGAAATGCAGGGGTGCCAATATTTGTGGCCATGACTGTATGTATTGTTAAAGTGGAAGACAGGTGGGCAGGTATTTCATGCAAGTTACAACCTTTAACATATTTGACAAAATAATAAATGGGCTGTAAATTTCATAGGTTTAAATAGATCAAGAAAACTACAAATTAAAAAAGGCAAAAGGGGAAGTGAACAATTGTAAGAATGGGAGAGAAAAGAAAACCACATGAAATGCGAGTGAATATACAGGGAGTCGGAGAAACTGCGGATAGAGGAGAATCAACGTCACACAAGACCTGCTGTCATTGGCAAAAGCTATGACTCATTCCCTGCAGGATGTGAATGAAGACACCTCTTTATTCAGAGCTCATTATCTCTGCTGATGCCTCTCGATCCCCCTGCCGCCCACATGCTGTCTCTGTGTTGGGGCACACGATCAGACCCTCCCCCACACCATGAATCTCTTTACTGAAGCAGCAAAGGAGGTGCCATTACGCACTACATATTAACCCATGCGTTCTCAGAAACCACTGCATTAGCTGGCAAACTGGAATAGAAGCTAAAGATGGCAGAAACATAGCAAATCTGCACTTTGACAATTTTAGGATGCAGCATACATAATCATTTCCCCAATACAGAATGTTAGTATCATATACCAGCAAAGAATAAATGTTTTGTAGTGGTGACCTCAAATGCCAGTATGCCCTAAATGACAGTAACCATTTGGTGACTCACTGAACTTAAGGGTCAACATTCTC